GACGTCCCCTAACCTCTCTGGGCTGCATTTCCAGCTCTGCTAACCAGTCATCTGTCTGCTTTCTCTTCCTCCCAGCTTGTGGTGAGCTGGGGGCAGGAGGTGTGGGAGGTGGATGGGCTGCTTGCTGTAGGTGCCCCCTCCCCAAGCCCCATCGCTTATTGGGAGCGGGGAATTCTTGTCCCCTGGGCACCATCGGAGGCTCTCTCTCTGAAGAGTGGGCATCCCAGATGGAGGTACTTCTTCCCTGATGGGTGCCTTCCATCCCCTGCCCTCAGAACTCTGTGAGTGAACTCGGAGGCCTGCCTGGAGGAGGAGGCAGGGGGACTGTTTCTAGACTGAGAAAGCTCTGGGGTCTGGAGTTTGGGGGAGAATCCAGGGAGCTGTGCAGTGGGAAAGTGTGGTTATGCATGTTTCCATCTGCGTGTGTTTGCATGGGGGGCATGTGTGCGTGGGGGGTGCGGATATTGGTGCTGTGTGTGGTACGTGTCTTGTCTGCTCGAGTGTCTATGGATATCTCATCTCATTTACATGCGGTGTTTGCAGTGCAGGTTTGTGTGTGGAGGTGTGAGTGTGTGTGCTCACGTGTCTCCACGCATCTCAGTGGGTTCTGTGTCTGGGTCCTTTTGGGAGGGGTGGTCTGTGTTCGGGGTGAGCTCACAAAGCTGGCTCCTGGGCCCTTTTCCCTCCTTCAGTCAGCAGACTCAGCCGGCCCCCTTAGCCCCCTTGGACCTCACCCTGAGTGGGTTACAGCCTCAGAGCTACCCGGAGGGGGTCAGCCCAGGAGGAGCAGAGCAGAGAGCAAGCTCCCACCTCCACTGGCCTCCCACCCAGCTTGGGGTGGACTTTCCAGCTCCCTCTCAACTGTAGGCTCTTCTGGTGCCATTTTACAGAAGGGAAAACTGAGTCTCTCGCCAGTCCCCTCATCTGTGGCCGACCTTGCTACCCGCCATGACATTGCCTCTGCCCTGGTTCTTCAACAAGTATTTACTGAGCACCTACCATGTGTCAGGCATACAAAACCAAGCAAGACAACGTGCCTGCCCTGGCGAGCCAATGTGTTAGTGGGGGAAACAGACACCAAAGACTTTCACAGGGGAGAACGGTGAAATGGTAACCATGGGCGATGTGACAGACTGAGGGAGGGCACGGCACGCACTTAGTTCAGGGTGGGTGGAAGGTCCCCTCATTTGAGCAATGACCAGAAAGAGGCAGCTTGGGAAGATGCAGGGGGAGAGAGTGGCCCCAGTTCCAGTCATTGGCAGAGTGAAGTTCACCCACCATCTGGCCCCGCAGCCTGCACTCCTAGCTCACTCAGCACAGCTGGATGGGGCCATTCACCCTGCTCACCAAAATATCCCGAAGATGTAAAGTGGCTTCACAAAACGATGAAAGAATTAGAAGGAAATAGGAAATGCCACAGAGTATTTATCTAACCTTAGCAGCGGGCTGAAAACCCCTGAAGCAGCATAGGAAAGGATAGCCGGATTTGAGCACGTGGATCAGGTGGGCCGTCCTGTGGATGCCGGTGATAACGACGTGTCAGTCGTCGGTTGTAACCAGTGAACCACTCTGGTGCAGATGCTGCTGGCTGTGTGGGGGCAGGTGATGTCTGATCACCTTGACCTGCCTACAGCAAGAATCCTGCTAGCTCAGTTTAGCCAGAATCCCCCTTGACCCATGATGTTTCGTTTCTTCTTAGTAATTTTCCATCCACTGTCCTCCCCCACACACCCCCGCTATAAGTTTCCAGTTTTCCTAGTTGCATTTGGAGTTGAGCCCAATCTTTGCAAAAACCCCATTGCAGTGGTCGCTACACCTATCGTGATTGTCCTGAACAAAGTCTGCCTTACCGTTTTAACAAGTGTCATGAGTAATTTTTTCTTGAACAATGGTTGGATTCATGCTTTTGAAAGCTCATTCTGCCTGCTGCACAGAAAATTGGTGCATGAGCATGGTTATTAGGGAGAGGCAGAAGCGACTGGGGGAGGCTGCAGCTCCTGGTGAGATGGTAGAGGCCTAAGTCAAGGTGGGAAGAAATGGGTACAGGTGGGTGGACATGAGACACACTTTGAAGGGAGGAGTCTCCATTCATACCTGCTTTAAGCCCTTACCTGGTTGCCATCGCTCCTTAATTGAGACCCATAAATTTAGCCCATTCTGGCAACTGCCATCTCACCCCACACTCCCTTTCCTCTCTCTATGTCTTAGCCCCACCATGCTCCTTCCCACCCCAGGGCCTTTGTACATGCTCTCATCTCTCTCAGGAACGTCCTTTTCTTTGTTTAATTCCTGATTAAAGATCTCAGGACAATCAGCACTTTTCAGAGAAGTCTCTCCTGGCTTCTCCAGCACCATGTCTGACCCTGCTGTGGGTCACAGAGTGATTTTGTACCTTGTGTGATTACTGGTTTAACATCTGCCTCTGCTATTAGAGTGTATCAATGAGGGGGCGGGGGCGGTGGGGCAAGGCTAATGAGAGTTTTGTTTAGCCCAGGGCTTGGAACAGAGTACAGGTGCAATAAATATTTGTCAGATGGCTGGCTGAATGGCTAATAAGGCCTTGTTGGGCATAAAACTTAGACCACATGCCCTCATCAGCTGTTAGCTCAGGTCTGGCTGCTAGGCCAGAGCCATCAGATGGGGCCCAGGTGGTGGGCTGATATCACTGACTGCAGGAGACTTAAGCAACCACAATTTGGGAGAGAACCCCCTGCGACCTGTCTCATCCTGTGGTGGAGGGCAGGCACCCACTGAGCCATGGAGGCTTATCTAGCCCACCACCTGACATCTTGGTTATTGGTTAGCACTACCCGTCTACCACTTCCCCAGGCTGTGACTCCTCAGGGGCGGGAACAGGGCAGGCACTTTTTATTTCCGGGTGCTCAGTGCCCAACACAGAGCCCAGCATGGGCAACACATCCAGTGAAGAATTGTAGACCCGAACTGCACAATCTCAGGTGTGAAATTCTGAGAGGCTTCAGTTTAGTTGAGAAGGGCTTTGGGGAAAAAAGGAAGAAAAGGGACTGCCTTAGTTTGCTCTGGCTGCCGTAACAGAATACCACAGACAGGTGACTTAAACAACAGCAACTTATTTCTCCCAGTTTTGGAGGCTGAGAAATCCAAGATCAAGGTGCTGGCCAATTCAGTTCCTATTGGAGAATCCTCTTGTAGGCTTGTAGAGGGCTTCCTTCAACATCTCTTCTTTGTGTGGGTGTAGAGGAGAGAACAAAGGAGGTGGGAGGAAGAGGGAAAGGGAGAGGGAGATGGGGGGAGAAAGTGTGTTACTGGAAAACTGGGTTCATCTCTTGGTGGGTGTGGAGTGAAAAGACACAACCAAGCTAAAGATCAGGAGAATGAAGGATTTATCATTACTGGCAGCAGGTAAGGAGAACACCTGGGATCTTTCCCAAAGCAGTGTCTCCCCAATAGCAAAATCGGGGAAGTTTTTCTTTGGCCACACAGCTTATGGGATTTTAGTTCCCTGACCAGGGATTGAACCTGGGGCCCCCGCAGTGAGAGTGCCAAGTCCTAACCACTGGACCACCAGGGAATTCCCCAAATTGGGGAAGTTTCAATCCCCTATTCATGAAGGGGATTGAGCAGAGGAGAATTCAGCATAGAATTGGGGCAAAGGTCGACAGAGTCCAAGTTTTAGTTGATTGAGGTCAGGAGGGTCAACATTATCACTCCCTTGAGGAGGAACTACAACTGTTTTATCGCTGAACTCTTGTTTCTTGACTACTTTTCCTTTGTTCCTGCATTCCCTCACTTCCCTGAAGATCATTAATTATTGAGCCCTGTTAAAGGACAAACATTGTGGCTGCGCTTAGATCACAAAATGGCTTAGGCCAAAAATGGCTTCTCTTATGTCAAGAAAGCCATGCCTGGTACCTTCTCCGGGGACCCCTAACTTATCTGCATACAAGAGCAGGCAGAACTGATGAGTTCCAGGAGGGACCCCCGTGCCGTCCCCACTCCTGGACCCTGTTGTTCCAGGACAGTTACAGGATACCTCCCCCCTTCCCGCCCCTCAACTACCAGCCTGAGCCTGGGTCCAAGGCTGGGTTCCCTTTCAGAGGCTGCTCCCGACTTGCTGTGTGTGAGGGGGTGGGTCACCTCTCGTGCCTCAGTTTCCTCGCCTATGAGAGTACAAAATTAATTTAAAAAAAAGGGGGGGGTGGGATGAATCGGGAGATTGGGATTGACATATATACACTATTGATACTATGTATAAAATAGATAACTAATGAGAACCTACTGTATAGCACAGGGAACTCTACTCAGTGCTCTGTGGTGACCTAAATGGGAAGGAAATCCAAAAAGGAGGGGATATGTGTATACATATAGCTGATTCGCTTTGCTGGACAGTAGGAACTAACACAACATTGTAAAGCAACCATACTCCAATAAAAATTTTAAAAAAAGATGAGAGTAAGGTCATTTACCTGCAGACACAGAGGACTCAAGGAGGGAGTGGAAATTAAGAGCCAAACACAAACAAAAAGAACGAAATCAACAGATTTCCCTCGGTTTTTTGTTCTTTCTTTCTTTGCATTTTTTTTGGTTTTCTTTTCCTCCCTTCGGCCGCTCTCTTCATTCCTTCTTGTCATTCCTAGATCTCTTTCTTCGAGCTAAAACGGAGGTGCCCCTGGGCCGTCCGGTTTCTGGAGCTAAGGTCAGGTGGGGGACCAGACCCGACGCCGTTGGCTAGGGGAGGGACCTGTTCGGGCGCGAAGACCAGATTCTCTTCCTTTTCAGGGGAGTTTTCTGGCCGGGGTACGGCACAGGCCTGAAGCCGGGTCCCCCCAAAGGCCATGCGCCCGGCAATCCCGCCAGTCGCGCGCGAGGACACAAAGATCCCGCCGGGGCTGTGCTCCCGCCCGCCCCGCCCCTGCTCCAGGCCGCAGTCCCATTGGCTGATAGCTCCTGGGGGCTGGGTCAGGGGCGGGGACGCGGCGAGCCCGCCCCGCGAACCGCGCCCCCTCTCCAGCTCTGTTCCCGCAGTTCGAGCAGAGCAGCTGGCTGAGCGGAGTGGGTCGTCAGGTAGGGAGCTTCTCCGGGGACCCCAGGAGGGGTGTGGTGTGGTGCCCCCGCCCCGAGGGAGGCCCAGGAACCTCCGGGATGGGACCTCGGCCTCTTCTGCCGCTGCTGCCCCCATTCACCGCCCCCTCTGCAGGGTCTTCCAGCTCGCCGGCAGAGGGCCCCAGGCTGGGTCTCTCTAGGCCCCTAGGAAATACCCGGGCCGCCTTGGCCTATTTGGGGAGCGCGGGTTACTCATCCCCCTCCGGAGAATGGTGGGTGTGGCAGCAGCTGGAGGGAATGTGAGGCGGACGTCGGGTTGCATTTCCCGCCTGCCCACCTGTTTTCTTCCGGCGGGAAAAAACCTCCCCTCCTCCTCGTCCCGCCCCCGCCCGCCCCCACCCCTTACCACCCTCCCCCTGCTTTCGCCTGTGGGCTGGAGCAGGATGGGGTGACTCGCGGTGCGCTGGGGCGAGGCGCGGCGGGGGTGGGGGGCGCCGCTCGGGGAGGTGGAGGCAGCCCGCAGCCAGGCCTGGCCGCGCCAGCTGTGGGCTCAGTGGTGGGACCTCGGTCGGGCTTGGCCGGGAGGTGGGCTGGGGGTATCCTGGCGCCGGGCGATTGGCCGCGTCTGGGGAGGAGGAGCTGCCTGGCGCTCGCCCCGTGTGTTTGCGTCTGGATGGGGGGCCCCAGAGGCCTTGCCGAGAAACTTCTTCCGCGCCCACAGGCTCCCTCCTGACAGCCTCACTGGCAGCCCAAGTTTGTAGGCCGGAAATGCAACGGTTTTTTGTTTTGTATTGATTTCTGACAAGGAAGCCCCTGGTCCCCACAGCTTATCTGGGGTTGGAGTGGATGTGTGTATTGGGGGTGGGGGACAGGAGATCCGCCCCTCCAGGCACGATCTCCGTTCCCACAGGCGGGGGTATCTCACTGCAAAATAGGAGGCTTCTCGGAGCCTCCGGCTCCCCATCCGTAGACTGGGGATGTAACTTTTCCTATCATAACGGGGTGAGTGAGAATAAAAGGACATGGCTGACCCAGTGCGGGGAGGAACGTTGGCTACTGTTAACATTTTTTACTGGCTTTTTGGATATTTCTTGGTCTCTTCACTCCCTCATTGGAGGAGTCTTGCCCCTCCAATGCGTTCGCCACCCTGAACCCAGGGAGCACTTGTAAAAACAGGTTCAGATCAACCCCCGGCTTAAAATGGTCCACCGTTGCCCCCATTGTCGGTCAAGTCTCAAACTTTTCAACAGAGCTTTCTATTACCTTCCCGCGAGACCCTCCCAGCCTCTTTCTGCCGCCCGTTCTCCCTCACCCTGGGCCTTTGCCCCTGCAGGTCCCAGGGAAAACTTCCCCACTCCGCCTTTAGGACTCGAAGCAGCCGCTGCTTCCTCGGGGCCAGGGGCCTCCTCCAAACCCCCTCTGTGCTCGCCATCCTCGGGCGGACTTGATGACCGCGGTTCTCAAAGCTGCTGTTTGTCACTCCCTCCCCCCACCCCCGCCCCCAGCTGGCGCAGGAGCCCCAGCAGAGCCGGAACCGGGGCCTGTAGCGCCGCCCAGCCCAGCCCGGAGTAGATGCTCGCAATGAGCTGAGCCCGGCCCAGCGCCGGGCTCTGGGTCCTGGGCGGGGACGAGGGTGGGTCTTTGTCTCACCGAGTGGCAAAGTCAGGGCATTTGGTTTGTGTCCCATCAGCAGGGACAGGAATGGGAGGGATTATTCTAGATGGCCCCAGGCCTGACAGTTCTATGGTTAGCGGCTCTGCCATTGTTTCAGAGCCTTTGTATCTGGTACCCCCTGCACAACATCCTCCGCACGACGTCCGCCGGGCTGGGAGGCTGCACCAGGACTGTCCCATTTGACAGATGGGCAAACTGAGGCGGGGAGCGGTGAGGTCGCTTGCCAGGGGTCACAGAGGGAGTGGAGTGCAGAGTTAGGCCTGAGACTCAGGTCTGACCGAAGCCCTGGGAGAATGGAGGCGAGAATGGAATACAGGAGGGCTGGAAGTGGGGGTGATGGGGTGCAGAGTAGGCCCCTAGTTACGAGCAAGGGCTTGGGCTCCTCCCAGGAGGGCTGCCCAGGCTGGGAGCCGGCGGGCGCAGGGTCCTGGGCGGGGCGGGCGTGTTCGGGAGCGCTAACGGGGTGCAGTGCTGGAGGGGCGCCTCTTCTTCCCGGCCGCTGGCCCTTGGGTTTCCGGCCTCTTCCCAGCACTCTGGGGCGGCCGAGCAGTTCCCGGCTGGGCTTGCTCCCCCTCCCCGGACGCGGGCATCGCGGGCTGCACCCTCCGCGCCGAGTTCGTATTTCTCCCTGCTGCTGGCGCTGCAGGCTCCAGCCAGGCCGCCCCGCCCTCGCGC